TATATATATATATATATATATATATATTCCATAAAAATATCAGTCTTTATTTAAATTTCATATCTGTGCGACTTTTAAATAAATTTTAATTATTTATGAAATGAATCCAGCACTACATTTTCTTTTTTACAATAGTTTAATTTATTTAATTAATAGAATCAATTATCTGTGATCTGTCTTTCATCTGTAATCCCAATTCTAAAATCTTATTAAAATTTGCACCGCGAAATTTTCTTACATTGATCCGAATAGATCTGATATCACAGTGATTTGTCAATATCATATTTAATACAGATTCTATTCCAATTAATTTTAGGTTGAACTATTTGATGGCGGGATTGAGTCCTATGTGGTATCACGCCACGAACGTCGCCTTACACGCCGCTGCATGCATCTTAGTCACCAGAGTGAGTCTCGTGGTAGCTGCACTTCGGCCGGGATTCGCAGCGCTCACCGGGCTGTTATTCGCCGCACATCCTGTACACACGGAAGCGGTAAGTGACAAGTTCGAGATATTCCAAGAAAAAATGAAAGCATTTTGCCAAATATAAATCTTTTAAGCGAAATAGATTGTTATCCATAAACGCTTTAATCGACGCTTTAATCATTTGTTGTCTAGTAATTTTATTTGTTTATCGTTAGCTACTATTCAATAGCATATTCGCGAACATACTTACGCGTTGCGCGATTCACAGCACAAATTCATCCTAAACCAAACAAAACAACAAGATTAGTAGAGTCCACTCGCCACGTAACCGCTTGAATCTGCGTGCGCGAATAGAGTCTAGCTGATCCGCTTTTCCTAAGTGCATAAACGTAATTAGCCTAATCTTATTATGGCTATGATCGTGACGGATAGAATTTGAAGTGTTCGTTCATGTCGCTGGAAAGAGAGGGAGAGAGAGAGAGCGAGAGAGAGAGAGAGAGAGAGAGAGAGAGAGAGAGAGAGAGAGAGAGAGGGAGGGAGAGAGAGAAGCAAGAGGAAAGGAGAGAAAGAGAGATTGTTGACTGTTACTTCAAGATAAACTTATTTTTGTAATCAACGTTGACGCTTATCGGCCATAAGAGAAATAATTTGGACGCGTGTTATTTTAGATGAATCCTAAGTTTTCTTTCGAATTATAAATATAAACTAGAATAGTATTAGAGTTTCATCAAGTATTTCTGCACGGCATAAGCGAAAATGATAAACTTCGTCGTTAATAATATTACCCTACTTAACCTGCTTTACTTAAGCATATAACTATAAAGCTTTGTCCGCCGTTATTGCACAAATTATGTTATTATGTATGGAAATGGAAGTTTATAGAGCGTTAGATTAGGAAGTTGAGAAACGGCATGGAACAATACATCGGTGATTATAATGCGTTCGTTAAACGTCGAAGTTTACATAAACGGGAGGAACTCTCTCTCTATATATATTCGGCATAATCATTAAAAGATCATGTAGTTGTCGATATACTTATATATCGATAATTTTATATTCTATAAGTTCTTCATTCCTGCATTAAACTGCACTAATTTTCTTTCTTGTTTTTGTCAAATATCAAACATATGTCTTTTATTATATTATAATATTTTACTTTAAGTTCCGAAAATTATATTTAGTTATAGAAAACAGGTTTATTTTTTTAATATAATTATGCAACTAATCATTTGGTTTAAATGATTATTGATACAAAATAATTGTGTTTGATTTTGAATTCTAATTTTGAATGACAAACATGCTTACCAAGTCATCGTTTAAATAATAAGAATACAATTTTTGTTGCTTAATTCGCGGCATATATTGATATCTTATATAATATATTTATTTTTTATTTTATCATCTTTAATTTTGGTCTCGTCGATGTTTCCCCAAGATAAGCGATATTCTATTCAACTTTACTAATAATCCTTTAATATGACATACAATTTATCTCGAAATTTTTCCATTTCAGTTAAGAAACTAATTTAATATCTTCCTATTTGGGAGTGAAATTTAACTCCAAGAAAAGTGATAGTTGCGCCAGTCCAGCAAGAGCGAATTTCGTTTTCACTTCTTCAAGGAGTGAATTTTCTCAACTTTAATATCTCGCTTGACGAGGTCGCAGAGCGACACTTTTTTGTGCCAGATTCGTTCGTTTGTGCAAAAACACGTCGAATGCGTCTAATTTCATCAAGATTGGATGTAGGGCGGGAGGGGGAGGGTTAAATTTAATGTTTACCTTTAATCTCTCCTTCCGAAAAGTGAAATTATTCACTCTTTGCAGAGATTGAAAATTGACTCTTGTTTGGAATGATTTTTCTCTCCAAGAGTGAAATTTCACTCCCCAAAATTTAATTGTATAGTGTACACGGTTTTCATTTTTTTAAATTGATATTATACAGATTTATTCGCGACTAAACGAATCATGAAGCGATACGAATCATGATCAATACGTCGTAATTTTTTGTAATTATGAATAAGCAATTATAAGAAGAATGTATAGGAAATAGATTGTATAGATATCCAGATAAAGGCGAATTCCGCGTCATTAGCAGGGGATCGTGCCTTTTGAGCGAAATTACTGGCGGCACACGACACTGGTTTGCAAGTCCCGGTCTGCTCATTACAAGCTCGACCTGCTTGCCGGTCACGCACTGCATCCTGTTACATCACGTGCGTGCGGTATTGCATGTATTACTCGTTGCGTGCGTTGCCAACCCTCGTTGCCAGTGTCACTATTGTGATATCATGTTCATGTCGTACGCGGACGGCCAAGTCAGATAATAATGTGTACTCAGATCAAATACTCTACCATCCGTGATTATTTTTGCACGGAGCTGTAAAATATACCGCAATTACATCTCGCATGCAGCGGCATTTTTTCTACATTATTACCGCATGTAACATTTTTATCGTTTTTAATTGTTGCATCAAATAGGATCTGACTGCAGAATCAGATTTCATAAACATCTCCTGACCGAGAGTAATCAATGTCATTCCCAGATTTGGAACGGTAGGAAGAGCGTCATACGCGATGCGATATATATATATATATATATAATATTATGTATTTCAACTGGTTTTGAGATGTTAACGATGCACTGGTGCAAACTATTTTTATTCATATTAAATGTTAAAATATTTTCACATCAGTTAATTATTTTGCTTCTATCGTTACACAGAATTGGCACAAAACTTCTTACGCGATATCATTAAAAATTCTCATGCCTTTTGGATTTATACTCTTCTGTCACGAAACCTTCATTAACTCGATATTAATAAATTATACCATGTCGTGTGTAGTATCAAATTTACACGAGAATCGGAAATCTTTCATCTCACTCGAGAAATATGATAAGTTTAATCTCCGGTTTATTGACTCTTGTTTCGTTTGTCGTCATATAATACGATCTGTAATCAATCGCTAATTCTCTGTCAGTCAAATAAGTTAACATAGTTTGATTCTATTTGAAATGATCAGCTGATGAAAGGACTGTTAGTTCCTGAATTAAGTCTTTCGTTGAATCGCTGAAAGGAATTTCTCACTAATTAAGTACAACGCCATTGAAGCTTTGGCTTTTGGTTCGATGTAAACTGGCCCGAACAAAGGACGCGTTTGCGAGGACGGAAGAAGAAGGGTTATATCGGGTGAAGAGAGATCGCCAACCGTCATTCTGGACTTCGTCGTTCAGTTACCAAATCTCTGCGATCGATCAATTACCATGCTTGTGTTGCCGTTTGTTACATAGGTTACATTCTACTTGTACGACTAATTAATTGGCAGATCGGGTATTTGCATCGGTCATTTGATGAGTTAGATTTTTTACATATTATACATAAGCTTGCTTATTATTATAATAATAACCAATAATTCTTCAGGAAGCTAATCATTCGTTTTCAACACTGTACACTCAAAAAAAGAAGTGTTTAATTTTAAGATATTAAAATGTTTTATTCTTGTCTCCATTTTTTAAACATTTAAAGACTTTAGTTTTAAACTTTTTTAATAAACTAAACACTATGTACTTGAATTGAAAATAATATGTTTTAAATCTAAACACATACACTCTAAATTTCTTGCAGTGAAATCTTACTCCAAGAGAGTGAAAATACAATCACCCTTGAAGAAAGGTGAAAATATTTAACTTCTTGGAAAAAAGTAACAATCTTCATTTTTTTTTTAGAATGAAATCTCACTTTTTTGGAGTGAGATTTCACTCCTTTGAAGTGAAAATTATTACTCTTTTTGAAGAAACATTTTCACTTTTTTTCAAAAGTTGTATTTGCACTTTCTTGGAGAGATCACTGTAAGAAATTTAGAGTGTAATATTTTATTTGTTAAAAAAGTTTAAAACATCCTTAAGTATAAAATAACAATTTATAATATAAGTATATAAATAACAATTTTACATACAATATTCGAACAAACCTTATGTTACATTAACACGGATGTGATAAAAATTCGATACAATAGTGTTAACAAGAATCAGTTTCACAAATATAACATGTTTCACAAATATAACATGTTTTCTGTGTAGAAACACAGACCACTTTGTAGTTATCTGTTTAAAAGTAATCTCCGCGAAGGTCCAAGTTTTTGCATGTTGGATTTACCGAAGATGTAAGTTTACTCAATATGTTGATGGATACTCGCGATACTGTATGTAACAAGATGATGTGTCAGATATTGATTGGATTTGCTTTCAGCAAACTAAAGAACGTTTATATACAGATGTTGCAATAATACAAAGATAATTACGGTTTTGCTCGAATTACATCCGTTGCGCGTCTGATTCAAAGACTGTTTGTTACAATCTTCTTATTTTGTTCAAATCTATACAAAATACTCAATTCCCGTTTGCCTTTGATTGGTTATATGTGATTGTCAGAAAGGATAGTAAATTGAACAGGATTTTTTAAAAAGATTTGAAGTGTAGAAATCTCGTTTTACTTTCATATAATCTTGAAACGATGAAAAACACTGTTAAAAATCTTATTTCGATAAAATTTATTTTATGAATTAAATAACATGAACTTTTACTTTAGCGTTATGTTCTTATAAAATAACATATTAATAGGATAAAATATCGGGATAAAAATCATCTTTTCTTCAGGAGCTTATGAATACTTTAAGATTCCTTTATCTTATCTTTATTCATTCATTTCAATATTGCATAGAAAACACTTAAGTTTTCTTCGATAAGAATCTTAGATAAGAATTCGCGTATCATGCGATCTCTTCATGTTCACGATCGTCTCGTATCGCTTCTGGCTATAAGTTGTTCGATATTCTGATTTGCACATGAAATTGGATGCATCGATTTTTAGCGAGACATTTATCGGTGATATTCGCGTTATTCGATAAGACAAATGCCGTAGGCGAATGACAAAAGTAGTCTAGATTAGAATTGGAACATTTAGATCGCGCGATATCGCTTGGAAGTGTCTCGCGAAGGTACATCGGCCATTTTATAAAATCATCCGTCCATCTATTCGGATTGGAAAATGTTCAATTCAGTCCACTGA